CAGGAACGGCAATGGCACCAATGTTGCCGCGTGCGTGAACTTTATTCTGAGAATCACTTCGAAGTCGTCTAATGGCACCGCCATCATATTTGTGCTCCCGCTCCATGTTCCGATCTTGAGGGGGACTCCCTTTGCCAGCCCGGAGATCCGCTTGGCCGTTAAGTTCATCGCCTTCATCCGACTTGGGTTCTTCTCCAACATCAGCCCTAGTCGCTTTGCTTCTAGATTAGCAATCATGTTGTGGTTAGTGCCCGTGTCCACCATTGCATGGGTTGTTTGGCCATTGAGCTTGATATTCACGTACATCAGCTCACTGCTCCTTGCTTTATGTGGCTTTGTCTTCATGTTCTCCCCCACTTGACCCCGCAAAGCATTTAACAAACGCATTGCTCCTATCCGGGGTCCTTGTGACTCATCGTCGCTGCTGGATTCCGAACTACTCGAACTAAGAGCGACGACTTTGCCCTTGTATGATTTGGGGGGGTGGATTGAAGTTGTTAAGGCATCAAGTTCTTGTTTCTGTGGGCATTCCCTCACCATGTACGGTCCTCCACACGAGGAGCATCCGTCAGGTTTTAGGGTCTTGCCTTTCGAGCTTGGCCCTTTATAGGAACTCTTCTTCCTTTGCTCGCCCTCGGTCTCCTTTCCTCGAAAATATTTTGGAGGGCGATTTCTTGAAGATTGTTTCCTTTTCCCTGAGTCCTCCGAGGAAACAAAGTTGGTAAGCCTTTTTGCGGTCGCAATTGCGTCGATCATATCGGTGACATTCCTTCGATGCAGTTCCTGTTAAGCCCATGGCTTCATGCCATCAAAGAAGCTGAACAACTTATCCTTCTCAGACATATCCTATATGTCTAGCATCAATGCAGAAAATTGCTTTACGTAGTCTCGAATGGAAGTACTTTGACGGAGTTGTCTCAGCTTCCTCCTTGCGCCGAATTCTATGTTCTCGGGTAGGAACTGAGTTCTCAACTCCCGTTTCAAGTCCTCCTATGTGTCCACATGAAACTGACCTTGTTGGATCTCCTCCCAACGGTTCGCCACCAAAGTTTTGCATCCCCATTCAGATATATGGTTGCTATTAAAACTTTGGTATCTTTAAAATTGGGCCTTGTAGCTCGAAAGTATTGTTCCATATCAAACAAGAAATTCTCGAGCTCCTTTGCATCCCTAGCACCTCCATAGCAATGATGCTTAAGTGCCCTCAAGTTTTATGGCGACGCAACACTGGTGTTGCTCCCTCCCGCATTTAGTACCCTTGTGAGCGTTGTCACTCTGGAAGTGAGTTCCGCCACGACTTCGTGCAAATGTTGCACGGAGTCTTTGTTATTGTCCGTCAGTCGATCGACTAGAGCCTCAACGTTGTCGATTCGGGATTCAGCTTCTTCTTGCAAGCTCTCTACCCCAAGAAGCCTTCGTTGGCCTAGGTAGAGTTCCTTCAAGCTCGCTTCAAGAACATCCATGCGAGTTTTCGATATTGTGAATCTCTCCTTATGGCTCTTTTTCTCGATTGGCGCTCCAGATTACGCCTCTGCTTATGGAGAGTAGCCAACATCTCACTCATCATGTTCGCTACCACGTTCTTCCAAAGCGGCTTCAACAACATGAGAGCGAGTTTGCACTTGTAGCCCACCTGCGGTTGCTTGGGGCAATAGTCCGGCTTGCCCCGTCTTGCTCGATTCGTAACAATGCTTTGTCATGGCGAGATTGCGAAGTTTCTTCGCTGCTTGCTCGAATTGCTTGCCTGCTCTGATACCACAATGTCACGGACTTAGCTGGAATTGCCTAAATCATGAGGAACCCTTATGGCAAAGTCACGGACTTAGCTGGAGTTGCCTAAGTCGTGAAGCACCCTTGCGCCAACTCCTCGGACTTAACTGGGATTGCCTAAGTCATGAGGCGCCCTTGCAACTATGCGTCCGTAAAGGGTCAGCCTAGTTGCAACCTCGTACAGGTCCCGAAGGACCTACGAAACAGAAAGTTGATTAGTTTGAAAACGAGCGATGGATAAGTCTCGACGTCTCGCGAAAAGGGAAGCTTTACAAACAATTCAGCGAGCACCTTGAGTGCAAGAGAGAAAGAGAGGAAGGAGAAAACAAGGACTTTAGAAGGTAGAACAAACAGTTGTAAGTCTGCAAACAACTGCTCACCGGGAGTCGGGTGCAAAGGTAAGTTCCCGTTAAGTTAACGTGCGAACTTGTGAAGATTGTTCAACGCCCGACACTACCCCGAAGCCCCATCCCCCCTAGTGCCACCCAGGGGGTTCCAGGGTGCTGAGATGGCTGACGTTTTGCGTGAGCCTGCAGTCTGCAGAAAACAAGCTGTGGCATATGAAAATGAAGCCATTTTGGGGTAGTTTGGTCCGGCGCAATGAGCGGTCGCACTGCAGCGTTGCGAACCGTCATTGCTTATATTTTTCAAGCAAAAACACATAAAATCAAGGCAAAACATGCTGTCATGTATCTGTACAAGCATGCAAAAGCGACGAACGATTCGTTGAACGAAGTTGTTGCGGGTGCGCGACGACCGTTCGTGACAGCTCGCTGCTCCCGCTCATGCTGTCGCTGGTCGCTACTACCATTGCTGCTTCTCTTAGTCAGCAACCTCGATCTTACTCTTACACTATGCCTCCGCTACCACGATCGATGCCGCTACTCGTTGCTACCGTTATCGCTGCCACTATCGCTGCTCGCCACTATCGTCGCTCCCGCTCCCACTGTTGCTGCCGCTACTCACTGCTACTATTACTCTTACTCTCTCTTCTCACGTCGACTCGATAGTACACTGTTAACTGTATACTAGTAATAATACTTTTTTATTTATTAGATTAATAATATATTATTTTGATTTTAATACTGTTAATTTTTATTTATTTGAAATTATTGTTATTATTTTGAATTTTGAGATTTTTTGTTAATGTGATATTGTGATTTTGTAAGATTTTTTTAATTTAATATCATATATTTTATTTAAATAATTATATTTATTAATTATATTATATATTTTTATATTTTAGTGCCTCGTTTCGCTCTGGCGAGCGCCTAGCGCCTCGGGCGTTTTTAGACCTTGACATCTTTTGGTACCTAGCGCTTTTTAAATCACTGGTTTGGTCATAAGAGCGCCACTAGTATAAAAAATATATAAAAAATAATATTCTCGTATAGTTTTAGTTTGGAAAAAATCAAATTTCGTATCATTATTAATATGTCATGAACTACACCATATTGTTTACTAGTGTAGCCTTAGTATTTCTTGCTTACAACTAGTGATTCATCAATCTCTCTTGCTTACAACTAACAAAATCTACTGTAAGCTTGTTTCTGATCTGAAAATATGCATGTTAACCTTGTAGGCATTACTATAGCATTATTAGATGTTCAAACTTTTGAAAATACTATATTTTAGAGATGGCCAAAACCTGTATTTGCATGCAAGAAACTTTGGTGCTTCCATATAAGGATCTGCCATTTACATTTATGAATGAGATTCATGCTGCATCTATGTGAGTCATGGTCCACTTATATATGAACAGAACATCTTATTAACAAATCCTGAGAATTTAAACTATACTCATAGATGGTCTAGGGAAGAAGAATGTATGTGAACTATCAACTGTCATCCTGCATTAAATATGCATATTATTTTCGCTCACAAATTGTGATGGGATAATACAAAGTGCAAGCTCTTTCGTGTGTAGAATTGACATGCTTCATTGTAGTCACTGACATTGAATTTTGATGTGATGTTGAGCAAATTAGATTTCTTATATTGGTACCATGCCAACAGAGTTAGCACGAGAATGGTCTTTCTCATTTTATCACCCACTTTTTTTCCACATCTTATGTTGCCATCTAGGTAAACACCGTGCATGAGGCATCTGGAAACGGTTAATATACACAACCTTAACTCTAAGATAGTTGTTTTTTGTAATTTGAACCCTAGTTTTTTCATGTACCAAAGCCTGCCTCTGGCATTTGACATCTGACTCTCCTTAAAAGGTGATCATCAATTAGGATGGGACTCGAATGAACTTTGTCATCTGATTTATGGAAATCTAATTTACATATCTAAGTGACTGACCACAGATCCATGCTAAATTTCATAAGCCCCTTCTTGAATTGTCTTTGCTTGCCCGTCTTATATTTGCCCACCCTGGAACCTAATATTTATCTCCTATTCTTCTTCATGAAGCTCATAGGAACTTTCTTGGTATTTATATTTTTTTCCTTATTTCTCATTGGTTGAGTCTCACCATAAACATTTATTTTATCTGGATATCTAGGCCTTGTCATCATAGTTGGGTTAAAAGAGTTTAGCTTTATGTTCCTAGCAAGTAGAAAATGTTGACAGGGTAGTGAATAGCATCTGGGTCAGACGATCCAGTTCAAGGAACATTTATAATTTGGAATGAAAAATATCAACATTTCAAAAATCCTAAAAAGGATACAATAAAAAAGAAAAAGGTACCTACATACAGTCAAATATCCAATAGATAGCAAGTATTTACCTGTGGGCTGGTCATTCTTGTCCATAACCCCTGAACCCTTGTTTATAATATATACATATAAGTATATATATATATATATATACTGACGTACAAATGTATACCTATTTATTTATAAAGGTGTGTTCTACATTCGACTTATTTTATTCTAAGAAATTAGAAGAAGTTGACCCCTGCAGTACAACATTTCAGGACTAGTATTATTCTATGCTCTTATTTTCAGGCCACATAGTAAAGCAATTTGCTCTCCAGGTAAAGTTGGTTCATTTTCCCTGTTTTTGGTAACCAACTAAACTGGGGTGTAACTACAGCAAGAAGAGCTGTATTGGAGTGCAAAACAATCGGTTTATATACTCTTTTTCTTTTTTGATTAAAAGCTTCATGACATATCTTTGTAGTAACAATTAGATACATCACTAAGCTTTTCAATGTCACTTCAATAAATGGATTTTTTAATCCTCCCTTTAAAAACTAATGGGACATGAATGTTCTGTAGTATGTTCTTCCTATCACATGGACTTATGGACAAAAGTATGGAGTTTCGTTCAGTCAGATTGCAACATGGTGGAGTGAGAGGCCTGCAAAGCTTGCAGGCCAAAAGTACAAGGTACTACTTGATTTCTCTTTAGGAAACTTTATTATGCTACAGTAGGATGATAACTTCTAGAACCATTGATATCATTCATGCAGCTATGAATCTACAGTATTGCCAGTCTTTTGCAGTACTTGTATATAAATGAGACTATCACGTGCAAATACTATCACGTTGGTACCATGATCTAGGCGGTAGAAACTTTAGAGCATGAATATTGGTCTTATGCAAGGTTCGTCGTATCGACCCGTACTACTCGGTACGGGTGGTATGTACTGGTCCGATAGGGGACCGGTACGTGAATCGTCCTCTACTAGATGGTACCATAACCTGACCCTGTATTGGGCCATACGGGGTCTGTACCGAGCGGTACAGGTCGGTAATGATCGGATTTCGATCGTTACCGATCAAGGGCTGAGATCGCGCTATTTCAAACGGTCAAATTTAGTGTTTGAACCATAGAAAAGAGTTTTAAAACCCTTTCCTCCCTCTTCTTTTGACTCATCACTCTCTAAATCTCTTCAACTCTCTCAAACTCATTCTCACTCACATCTCTCTCTCATTTTGATATTTTCACTCTTTTAAACTCAATGAGGCTATGATTTGTGGATTGGATCAAATTTGGGAGAATTAAGAGGAAGATCCCTCTCGGTCAGAACGTGGCAGAAGGGGCCAAACAACATCGAGTCAGACTGCTCGAGGAACTAGAGACACCCAATTGTCATAGTCGTCCGCCTAGTGTGCAAAGGCAAAGGCAAAGAGGAAGGCAGTAGCATCAGCTACACTGTTGGAAAAAATCAAGTCGGGCGATGAAACACCTTCTCAATTGCATTCAACAACCCGCTCAATCCAATGACATGGCAGCGACGTGGATGGCAATGCCTCAATTGATGATGACAACGATGCTAGGGAGTTGATGGTCCTGTCTACACAATTTGAGGGTGGTGCATGGATCGAGAAGTAGTATTTTACACATGCCACTTAAAATTCATATCATGGAACTCGACGAGGATGGTACGAAACATATCACAATATAACAATTCAAATCATTTCTTTGTAGATAATTCAATATTAACAAAAGGATGTCCGGAGTGTACCACAAAGGTACTCCTCAAAGCTCGAAAAAGATATCAGTATTCTTTTGTAATTTAGATTATTTTCGCTAAAATTATACTAAATTTATATTTATTTTAAACCAAAAAGCCCTAATCTAATTTTTTTTATTTTCAAGTATTTTTGGAGTTATTTCCAATGTTTTTTAGGCATATCGTCGGTACGTCTCGGTACGTACCATACCGATCATTGGTCGGTACATTGGTACGGACCAAAATTGCAAGCCTTGGTCTTACGTATATTGATGCATTAATACAGTTTCACAGTTAATAGCTAGTTTATGTCTGTTAACAATAGCTTATTATCCTACAATTTGTCTTGTTTGGTATGAAGCACAGCGTGGATAATGGACATTGCCACTTCATGTTAGTGCCCAATCTTATGTGGTATGAAGCACAGCGTGGATAATGGACAAAACCCTTTTATTTCCACTGGAACTAAAATGAGTTTGTATATAAGATTTTCTTTTGTGAGAGGTTAAGTTTTCATCTTCGGATGCTAATCATTTTATTAAAAAAACTCTAATCAATAAATACGGAATATTTATTGATTGCTAGGTGTTCTATAACTGTATATTTATCATGTACTGTATTTATCATGTACTGTAGAATCTTCATTAGCAAAGCTGTCAGAAAGAATGCTTACAACATCTCATAATTTATTTTTAAGCTTTGACTTTGTCATAAATTCATAATTTAGAGCAAGGTATGCAATACTGTATCGTACCGATGTTTTGAGGTTGGCTTGGTACAGTACGGTACTGGCGTACCGAGCAGTACACCAGGGTGTACCGAGCGGTACACCAGGGCGTACCGAATAGTTTTATATATTTTCTTCCTACTGTAGCAATGTAGCATGTTCCGTCCGGTACTAGGCGGTCCACGTATCGGTATGCCGTCGGACCGATACATACCGCCCATAACGGGCGGTACCATTCGGTATTGCATACCATGATTTAGAGTAAACCTTGTGACATTCAGAATATCTGACGATTGATTTCAAATTATTGGAAATAAATATACAAAAAACTGTCCGTTCTAGATAAGACAACTGTGGATGAGATTTTTCTTCTTGTCCTCTTAATATGTAAATCTTTTACCAATCATGGATGCAGTCCTAATCTGGAACTGCACCAAAATAGTGCATGCTAAAATCAGTCAGATTGCTATGCATGTTATTAGTAATATATATGGGCACAGGAACCATCTACATACTGCACTGGGCAACATGGCCTACCTGGACAATCCATGTTATAAGATGTCCTGGGAACATGGAACTATGGAATATGCACAAGAGGTGGATGGTATTTTTGGTTCATATGTATCACAGTAGAGATGTCACATACATATTAATATTATTATGCTGATAACTTTTAAATGATTTGTTTCAGGGTGCCATCATATTGGGAAATGATGCAGATTTTGCTGTATGGGAACCTGAAGTGGAGTTTGAACTTGATGAGAACTACAAAACATACCATAAGCATCCGGTATATGTTTGTTTCTCTTAAAAATCTGTTTACTACTCTGCCACTTAAGGCGCTCATCATTGTCAGATAACCCACTGATTTGTTTAACACGTATGAGTGGTTCCTGGTCATCATTGTTCGTCATTGTCAGATAACACATTTAATCAGAGTCACTAAACTAAGTTCACTTATGTCAATAGGATATTTTGTGTTGCTAATAAGACCATCTGCAGAATTTGAGGGAACTTGGTAATTGATACAGGTCCCCATATCTGAAGTTACTGTGTATGTCATTGTTTTTGTTAGACATAATTAAATGGTACACCTTACAAGCATGGACTCTGCAAATAAATTTGGTTGTGACCCCAAACCACAAATATGCTTGTGCTCCAATGCCCCTCTGCAATCCCATCATTATTATTTAGCTCTAATCATGATTCATGTGGTTTTCATGGCACGTTATATTTAATGTGCCAACCACCGATGTGACTACGTTCTTCTGCACAAGCAGTATGATTTTCTTTCAATAAAAAAGTCTTTTATTAGAAATTATAGAAGCATCGTGACTTGTCAGCTGAACCATTATAAAGCATGATCAGAACCTTTACTTTTTAACACCTTCAAGTGGATTTAGTTTTTCTCATAATAAATAAACCATGAATGAAAAATTGTCATTAGGCTTCTTGTACTGATGATATCTGAACAATGAATGAAAGCAAGGGCATCTCAACTCCAAATATACTAACTACTTAATACACTACGAAGCTGTTTCTACGGTGTATTTTTATTTAGCAAGAGACATATACCATAAATATGTGTTCCTTTAAATATGTAAAGCAGTGGCCGAGAATTAGATTGCATCATTCCTGAAAAGGCATCTTGTTGCATGCCAAAGCTTGACAGACAATAGGGGAGTTTCAGGATAAGTCTTTATTTGGAATTAATGATCATGATGTTTCTGCTTATCAAAAAGAAAAAAAATTGGTGTTTAGTGATGTTCTCTCATCCCTGTGCTTTTAATTCGACAGCTTTTAACGATATAAGCATATGGCTTTTTCCTGAGAGCAGGTTCCATTTGTATTTTATAAGAATTTGAGTCCTTATACCATCATTCTTCATCAGATCTGGTTTGTTCTTCCTTAATATAATTGTGGATCTCCTTATGCAGAATATCTCACCCTATATAGGAAGGAGACTCTCGGGCAAGGTTTTGGCCACTTTTGTGAGGGGAAATCTTGTGTTCAGTGAAAGATCACATGCACCTGCAGCCTGTGGTTCTCCAATCCTTGCAAAATAGGCAACAGTGACAAGTTACAAATTAGCTTCCTTCTTGGAGACCAATCATCAATTCCAATAAGATGCGAGGGAATTGAAGATTCCTGAGCTTCCACCTGCAGTGGCATCTGTTAGTGGAGAAAGGTGGAAAGAAGGGTAAGAGCTAGCTTTCTGTTCATCAGCCAAACATGATATTTGGAAAGTGATGTTTGGTGAAATCGTACTTGATTCATCATAGAATAGGGAAAACACTTTTCTCCCATGCAATGCTTTGGCTTGTGATAGATATACTTGGAAAGATATCCGGATTCCCTTTCATAGATTGAGTATCTATTTCACTTAATAGAAAACAGAATAACGCTCATCATTAGCTTAGACACTTCTATAGAAATTAATTTCACATATATTTGACATCATATCCGGCTATCATCTTCTGTCTCTTTTAGTATCACTAATAAATAATTATTGATAATATTTCTCGTATGAAACAATTGCTGTTCTTAAAAATGATGTAGAACTTATGGACACAAAATTGATATTGAAAATAGAATAAATGTGAGATTCTTCTGTTTTTCGTTTTTGGCATACATATAATGGCCACTACAAATCCTATTTCTTAGGAAAAATGCCCTGTTGCTGTGTAGGCCTAAACAAACAATAGTTTATTTTTGGTCAAATTTAATTAATTCGATAAATGTTCAAATAAATATCTCCAGTAATTTTTAACTACATCCTTTTAATTTCGAGTTTCTAAAATTTTATTGGAAGTTTAAAAAATAGTAATCAAAGAAAAGCATTTCGGTGAGTCTCCACATTTACACGAAAATTTTGATATAAAGAAAAGGTTAAATGATTAATTGACCACATAGAGAACGTTTTTCTTCCATTCGATGGGCATCTTTGCAAGAAATCTATATTTGTAGTATTGATGAAATCATATGTATTTAGGTATTTATATGTGTGTGATGTATGTATGTATGTATGTATGTATGTCTGTGTATGTGATGTGTATGTATATGTATATGTATATGCATATATTTATATATTTATATATATATGTGTATATATATATATATATATATATGTATGTATATGTATATATATATATATTTATTTATGTATATATATATATTTATATTTATATATAGTATATATGTATACATGTATATATATATATATATGGATACATACATGTATACATATATATACACACACATATATACACATATATACATATATATACATACATACAGATATATATATATATATATACATATATATATACACACATATACATATATATATACATACATACAGATATACAGATATATATATATATATATATATATATATATATATATATATATATATATATATATATATATATATATATATATATATATATATATATATATATATATATATATATATATATATATATATATATATATATA